GGCTTTTTTATTTTTCCCCCTTTTTTTTAGCTTAACTGCCAAATGCTGCATTAACTCACTAGCTGAAATGCTGATTCATCGGACCCTACTTGTCAGAAATGCTCGTATGTTCTCAAATAGAGATTGCTTTCTTTTCTGAGAGTTGAGATGCCTCTTCTATGACAAGTTTCAAGCCCTATGGCCTCAAGAGATACCTCATCCTTATTTGGTTCTGAATTGCCACCATAGATTTAGACCTGTCAGCCACCCTCTCAAAACCTCTCAGAGGTGGAGTGGTATGATTTTTTTATTACTATTTTTAAAGTTTATGAATATTATTTTTATGATGGTTTATTATTGAATTAAATCCTTTGCTCTATTTTTTTACAAAAGATCTTCATCTAGAAGCTGGATCGCAGGTGTCCATCTTATGGGGGATATTTGTTTCAAGGGACCCTACTTCAGCAGGCACACATTCTTCCATTAAAACTGGAGTGATTCACAGTGCTATCAGCTCCCTTAGTTTTTTGCTTTCACCGAAATCACAGGATTTCAGCAAGAATTTGGAAGTTAAGATAAAATTAATAGAACAGAAATAATGAGGGAAGGGCACAGGGATGCAGAAACTGGTGGAAACACTATTGGTTTGGTAATTCAGGGCAAAATTAATCACAGAGCAGAGGCAAATGATGTGGCTTAGAGTGTGTCTAGTGGAGGGCCAAATCACCTTGCTCACTTAATGTAAAAGAGTTGACACTACTAATTTTCTCACACACATTTGGTAAGTGTAGTTTAAAAAGAAAACTAGCGTTACTTGGTTTTAACCTCAGAAATGCTACGTAATTTACAACTTGAACCTTAAGGGCCTGAGTCTTCTGAATCTGGACCTTTCTGAGTTAACGCTGTTGTTGATGAATCCAAAACAAACAGTTCAGTTTAAATTCACCACTAGGCAGACAGCATATAAGGCAAAGAATATGACAAATTTCATAACATGAAAAGGAAAAAAAAGGATCCTATTTGATGGTGAAAAGATTAGAGCTAAATTTAATTTTTGGATTCAAAGATAGTTGGTTTGGGCCTGAATCTCTTCAAAACCAGCTCCTGTTGCTATTTACAATGTTATCAAGTGATAGTGGTTCTTAAAACATTGTAATTCCCGTTACACTGCTATTTTATGGGCTGAAGTCCCATGATCCCTCATGCAGCTGTCAAAACCTCCAACTTTCCCAGGACAACTGTTACAGTTTATTTAAGTGCTGTCAGTGCCAAAATATGGGGTATTCTGAAAATCTGATGGTAGCACAAAATAAACTGAAGCTAAGTGTCAGAAAAAATGAAGCAGGAATATATTGCTCACTGACTGAGTTAATGCGAAAATGCATTATATAATAAAAACCTTCTTTGAAAAGAAGGAGCCACCACCAGATTTTCTGTTTTTACTGCAAAACTCAGTACTGAAAGGCTGCAAAAAAGTAGTCATTTCACCCAAGAACTGAGGGTTGGCTTTGCACCGCTGTGCAAATACAGCTTTTGCCCTAGGAGAGGCATGTTCTTTCACAGCTTAATAAACATGGCAGTCATCCAGTCACGTCCCAGGGATGCCAAACCTTTACTTTCCCCACTTAGCCCTTGCTGTCAAATACTTCCAGTGACTTCTACAGGGCCATTCGCAATGATGAGAGAGCTACCAAGATCTGACCCTAAAGGACTCAGGAAAGACAAGCAAAAAATGAGTGGGTCTGAGAAAAATAAAAAAAGCAGGACAAAGATCATAACAACACATTGCAGATGCCTCTTGCCTTTTCTTCTTGTGTATTCACATGCAACTTAGTTGAGAAGAACCTGGTCCTTCCCAGTGGCAGCACGCATACTGTGAAAGTCAGTGCTAGAATCAGCCTGGAGCCCATGTATCAGGCATTTCTGATGCATCTTTGTGGACCTGATGGCCTGCTGGGCTGCATAGCCTTTCTGATAAAAGAAGTAGCATCCAAAGAAAACACACTGATCGGTCTTAAGGTAAATGCAGGGTTACAGATTTAGTTTTCAAAGTTCCCTTTCAATTTATTTAAAAAAAATTAAATTGGTACTACCAAATTTAACGAGAAGGCTACCCTGCTGAGTTTGGAGCCCAGAAAGCTATTGTCTCCCTGGTCTATGTATCCTAGACTGTGATAATGTTTCCTATAATGCGGCTAATAACCAACCATCAGCAATAAATGCCTTGTCATCTCATTGTTGTACACAGCAATAGCTGGAGCAGTGATACTGACAAATGAACCTGCGTAATCACTTTAGATTTCTTTGTTACATTTCACAGTGTGAAGACTGCTTCTGCTCAGCACGTCACAAAAAAACAAACAAGAGCTATAGCTGTCTCTTCCATCAATCTCAGCTTATTTTTGTCAACCCTCTGCCTGTACAGCCACAACCCCACCAGCACTTGACAGCAGATGGGGGAGCTGATGGTTTGGTGAAGGAGAGATGGATGGTGGTCGGAGCGAGACAGATGGACCTCTGCACTCTCCCTTCTCCTTTGTAAACAATTTTTGCCTTGAGAGAGTATGCGGGCAGAGGGAAAGTGAACTTTTTCTGTACTTTCCAAGGCTGCCTCACATGGAAAAAGGGGGGAGAGGGGGCTCTCATTAAAATCCAGTTGAGTCTGCCATTTTTCCTTTTACCTTTTCAATCTTTTTATAGTTTCAAATCATTAACTATCAGCGTGAAGCTCAAAGGTAGCGCTAGCCATCTATGAAACAGTGACACATTTGACAATAATGCTTTTGAAGAGCTTGTCACATCCTCTTCCCAAATCAGTCTCATTAATGCTCAGACTGTCTCTCTTTTCTCCCTACTTCTTTTCTCCTGATTTCTCTCTAATTAGCTTGTGGTTTTTTTATGCTCTCTCGTTCCACAGTTTGAGCTTAAAAAAAAAAAAAAAACAAAAAGAAAGAAGAAAGAAAAAAAAGGAAGGAGGTGGATGTTATTTCCATGAACCCCAAGGCCAAGTTAATCAGGAGAATTAATGACTCTATTATCCATTAGACTTGGGGCTATGGTGCTTATATGGCAGCACCCAGTGTTCTCCATCTCATGCTTCTTCACTTTGCTCTCACAAATGTAAACTTTTGCTCTCTCCTGAAAGCACACTCCCTGATCCAGTGAGCTCACCATGCTTCCCTTCAGCTGGTGGCTGCCATGACCCAAGAGAGCAGCCTGGGCACTTCAACAAGGAAGGCAGCAAAACTTACCATCTGAAACAAAGGTGATGGTGCTGTTTTTCCTTCTCTTTCTTGCATCTATCTCCCAGGAGATAGGAGTAATCAAAGGAAAAGAGCTTTTGAACCTAGACATGAGCTCCTGATGCCCTGGACAGGCAGTAGGTTTCCCAAAACCATTTGCAGGTTTTACTTTGAGAATCCTCTCTGAAGCCCCTTCAGAGCATGGCATCTCTGAACTTTTCTGGCTTGAGCTGCCCTCCCCTTCCGTGTTGCAGGGCATCTGTTCTTTCTATCCTCAGTATGGGCAGCATTTCAGTCTGCTCTTTCCTTGCACCAGCCAGTGTGGCGCTGCTCTGTAGGTGAGTCCAGGTCCCAAACCAGGTCTGCTCTCAGTCTGCCTTTCCTCACTTCTGGGACAAAGTAATGATCAGGCCCTGAGCTGATGGAGGGTTACTCTTTTTGTGTCACTGAATTTTGCCTGTAAACTTTTCTTTTCTGATTCCAACTGCTTGATTCATAGTTTTAACAAAACTGCATTGCTACACAGGCAAAATGCCGACAGCCCCACTCCCTTGACCCTAGCTACCTCTGTTCCGGAAATAGCATACTTTTGGGATTAAATAAAGTATATGATAAGGAAGGACTTTGCCTGGCTTGAAGAATAAGGGGGGTTTAAATTTGCTTTCTGCGAGGATAGCTTTATTTTCACACTTGTAACAAAAAAAAGAGGCATGATCCCTAGGAATGATTTGCGCACCTGCTCTAGTCTGCAGCCACGCAGCCTTAAAAATCAGTGGCAGCTCTGCCTTGATCTCACTAGGAGCAAACTGACTACTGGCAAGTGCCTCCCATTGAAGCAGCGCAGCAGGGCATCATCCACAGGGCTCAAACCTCCCAGAAAGCATAGTAGCCATCCTGAAAATGTCTGTGTGCTTCTGGAAACGCCACAATCTTTTTAGCCTGAGTGATCCCTGTGCTTTAAAGGAAACAGAAAATGGAGCTTTCCCTCACGCCCTTTGCACACTGAAGTGGTTTTGATGATAAAAACACAGCCTCTGCACTGGGGTCAGGAGCTATCTCCACGGAAAGGTTCAGGATACCAAGACCAAGCTGTATGAAGTATTAGCTGCTTGCACAGCAACTAATAGAGACATTTTTGACTATCAGAAATAAAAGGCGAAAGACAAGTACTACATGCCAGTGCACCCCAGAGAACCCAGGAAAAATAAGTACCTTTTTGTATATGCACCCATGTTAACTCCCTACAGTTTTTAACTCTCATACACGCAGGTCTTCCTACAGCAGAGATGCGAACCAGGGTGAGCCAAGACTGCCTCTCCTTCTTTGCAGCACTGGATTAAAGCGGACAAAAATAGGAAGTCTCATCAAGGTGGTTGTGTGAGGCTTCATGCTTTTTCAGGGAGCAAAAAGCCTGGGAGCACGACCTCTTCCAGCTCTTCTGCCTGACATGGACTAGTTCTGTCTCTTACCGAGTTCTTTGCTCTAACTTCATTATGGTGATCACCTCCCTTCCTGGGTACTCAGCAGTGCTGATTTCAGAATCACCCCTGCACCACATCCTCTTCCCTGTAGGTATGAAGGTTTCTGCTGCACTGTGCAGCTCTTCATGCTAAAGAAAATGCTTGCACAAGCACCAAGTGCCACAATGAGCTCCAGCTTGCCAGCTCCTTTCTATCAGCCAAACTGAGTGGTCTGTAGGACTAAAACTTTGAATTGCAGCTGTGGCAATGGGAATTAACTGATTTGGGTGCAATTCTGATTTGTACATGCAAGCAAAATCACCTCAAGTGCTTCGAGCTTGGTCACTCACTGATGCAAGTCCTTTCCTCCTTCTCTCATAAACTGGGACTTTGCACATGAGGCCATACCAAGTTCTGCAATGACAAGTTGAAAACATGGTTGCAAATATACACAAGATGCCTCACATTATAATAATTACAATAAACATTATAAAGCCTCAGTATCACCCACTCAGCCACTCTCCTGTAATGCACTGCTGCAGAATAATGGCAAGCACGAGTACAAGCAAGCAAGCACCCTCTCCCCGTCCCATTACCTGTAGCTTTCCCCTTCTTTGGGGAGCCATTTCATAGCCTTCCAAGATAATTCTTTGTCCTTCTTCAAAATGTGACCCTGCTTGTCAGCCATCACAGCTTTTTTGTGGCTGCAGCCCTGCCATGTGAGGCTCTGGGTATGACCTGAGGAAGGATGGCAGTGCAGCTGGACCAGGAGTCTGCAGGTAAACAGCTGTTCAAGAAATAAGCTATGGAGAACATCAGCTTTACACAAGCTTTAACTGTCTGGTTTGAACATGGGACTTATCAAACCCTGTGAAAATAGCTTGGATATGGGTGAAATAAATGATAGAAAACTGAGTTCTTCCCCTCCTTTCCTGAATATTTGCTGCATCTCCTTAAAGTCACACAGGTTCTTCCTGAAGGGCCCAATCCTCTCAAGCAAATGGCAGATGAACCTAAAGCAGACATGAAATCACAGACCTGGGCTGTTTGTCACTTGACATTGCCAGCAGGTGTGCCTCAGCAGCACTGCTGTCCTCATTACAATAGTTTGCCCAAGCCAGTTGTGGCAGCTACAGTAGTAAAACATACTTGCTGCCATATGTGTGCTCTGGGTGCCTCTTGGACTGCAAGCTCATCAGAGTCACTGCAGTCCTGGTGTCATCTTCCAAGGCTCAGTCCCATTTCGTTCATAGTCAGCATGAAAACCATGACTGCTTTGCAGGCTGCATGGGCACACAAGCATGAGAACAGCTCTGGTGCTGGCATGAACTGCAGGAGAGCGTTCTAGCATGGTGCACAGAGGGGGATCCCTGAACCAAGGGAACCTTAGGGGAGGATGAGAGAGTTACCAGGAGCCTGCAGTTCACACAATAGCAGCTAACAGGACCTGGGCAGGGCCAAGCCCCCCCCCCATAAAAGAACCACTTAGACATGTACAAGCAGAATTTGATCTGCTTGTGGGTTGCAAGATTCTACAGAGGGATATGGGAAGGATCAATGGGCAGAGGCCAATTGTATGCAGTTCAGCAAGGCAAAGTGTGGCACCCTGCACTTGGATCACATAAACCCCACACAAAGCTCCAGGCTTAGGGAAGAGAGACTGAAAAGTTGCCCAATGGAAAAGGACCTGGGGGTGCTGATTGACAGAGCTGAACATGAGCCAGCTTGTGCCCAGGGAGCCAAGAAGGCCAAGAGCATCCTGGCCTGTATCAGCAATAGTGTGGTCAGCAGGAGTAAGGAAGAGATCGTCTCCCTGTGCTTGGCAGTGGTGAAGCTGCACCTTGAATCCCGTGTTCAGTTCTGGGCCCCTCACTACAAGAGAGACATTGAGGTGCTGGAGAGGGTCCAGAGAAGGGAAACAAAGCTGATGAGGGGCCTGGAGCACAAGAATGATGAGGAATGTCTGAGGGAACTGGGATTGTTTAGTCTGGAGGAAAGGAGGCTCAGGAAAGACCTTATTGCTCTCCACAGCTACCTGAAAGGAGGCTATAGTGAGGTGGGGGTTGGTCTCCCAAGTTTAGGTTTAGATTAGATATTAGGGGGAGGTTTAGATTGGATATTAGGACAAAATTCTTCACAGAAAGAGTTGTCAAGCATTGGAGCAAGCTGCCCAGGGAAGTGGTTCAGTCACCATCCCTAGAGGTATTTGAAAGATGCATAGATATAGCACTGAGGGACACGGTTTAGTGCTGGACTTGGCAGTGCTGGGTTAACAGTTTGGCTCGATGACCTCAAAGTTCTATTCCAACCTAAACAATTCCATGATTCTATGAAGAATTTTCTTACGTTAACTTCATAACAAAGCAAAAATTTTGGTCTCAAATTTCGCTGCAAAACAGGGAGTAAAGTACCCTGGTGGTCACTGGGGGAGAATAATAATCAGTGAAAATATTAGAATAAAATCCATGAGTAAAAACCAAGAAGCAGCATAGCCAATAACCAGCATTAGCATTTCTCCCACATGGAGACATTATTTCACCACCATATTTCTCACACACTGTTGTTTCAGGTTCACTGGAGCGATGTGACTGCGCAATCGCTCCCCTCACCCAAAACTAAATTGACCTGAGAGAACATCTTTGATTTTATTGCCTTGCTTTCAATGCCTGTTCAGGATCCAGTGCTTCTTTAGATATAGCTTTAATATGCACTTTTCTAAAGTGCTTTTAACAGTAAATATAGCAGACCAGGGATAAATTTGGCCCAATGCATTTAACCACATGAAATAAATCCAAGGCACAGAGGACATCCTTGAGTTTCAACTCATCTGCCCCCCAAAATCCATAATAATAATATTTTTATTTTAGCACTCATACCTGAAGGCCTCTAGGTACTTTAAAAAAACGTGTAGAGTAGTAAAAGCAATTTAGTCCCCAATACTTTCATATTTTAGTTCATGGTATATTATTATTCCTCTGCACACATATTGCTTCAGTCATCTACATTTTTATACCCTTTCTTTTTACTGTACAACTGAGTTCTTAACTATATTTATGGACTGATGTATTTTCCCTGTACACCTATGCACCTTATTATTTATTCATAATCTCCCATTTCTCTTTAAGTTATTGTTCACAATATATTTTTAAAATAATAATAAAGCTTAAACTCCAGATTTTGACTTTTTAAAATAAAGAAGAGACTGCACAGGACTAAGCAATGTTTGTTTTACACAACAGGAGTGAAGATGGGATTTGGCTCAAGAATACATTACTCCAGGTAGGAGGGAAACCATTAAGATTCACACCACATCCTGCCTCTCTTGTGCACGTATAACGAGCAGGCACAGGTACAGTTGTGAAGAGAATGTATTTTGCTAGCACAGACATCTCATTAACCATTAAAATTCCTCATAGCAGCAGGTTAGCCAAGGCCTTACCAGCACACTGCGCCATTTCCCAAAGCACCTTTCTGTAAGCAAGGATGCTCTTGGCAAGTCCTTCCCAGGACCACTGCCCCCTCCGACAGCACCAGCACGAGTAGGTCTGCATGCAGCCATTCAGGAGCCTTGTGGCAGTAATTATCTGCTTTGTAATCGACTGTGGTGGATGTTTATAAAAACACTGCACTCTGAGCCTGGTGTTTTTCCATGTCTTTTTGCCTTGAAGGTCTTTCCCAGAGAGGAATACTGTGTACGGTTAATCTGAATTAACTGTTAAAACGGATTAGTTAAAAATGCATTAAATCTCTACATACATATTCTCCTTCAGAATTAACTTGGCCTTTATGAGACTTATCTTTCTTTACCTTAATTCTGAACAAGGACATCTACACAGGGACTTGATGCAATTTAATCAATCCACTTAAAATTCAGATCACTTAGCTAGCTTGTATTTTTTTCCTTTCACATGCCTGTAGACTAACTTATGACTCAACATATCTGAGGAAAAGCTGACAGAGAGCAGGAATCTGTAGAGAGTTGTACCTGTTTTCCTGAGACATAGTGAGTACTTCCTATTTTCACATATGTATATGCACTCACAGAGCCCAGCAAAGCATCCACATGCCCTTGCAATTTTGAAAGAAACTTGGGTCTGAAAACAGCCAGGATCCCTTCCATCATAACCATATGAAGGTGCCGAGAGATGGCCCTTAGGAAGTCCATGCGGCTCTAGCAGGGTCAACAAGAACCTCCTCCATGCAAAACTGAGGCATCCAGATGAGAGGAGACAGCTCTACCATTTTTTGTAAATTCCCACCTAAGGACTAAGTCACAGGGAGACACAGACACTATTTCTTATCATAACTTCTATTTGGTGAGCTGTCTCCTCACCTGACCAAGAGGTCATGCCACAGGGTTTTTGCTATCTACCACCTATTCCAGCAAACCAAAACCAGGTCTCTTCCTGGAGTTAGAGGAGACCAGTTAGTCCCAATTGACTGTGTGTTTTTGGCAATGGTGAAATGAGCATCATTTAAGCTGCTTAAGTGGAACTTCGACATTTTTCCGACTTTTCCAGAAATGAGGAGAATTGAGCTGTGAATGTAAAACCTTGCTCTCTGTGTTACAGCTTTCTCTTTCCCTATATATTCATATATCTAAGCCTTCTTCCTCTCTATTAGGATGTTTCTCTTCAGAAGTCACATATTTCACTGTTCATCTCCTAAGGGCAGCCAGAATATCACATGAAAGGGAGTTGTCATTTCTCCGCTATTCCTTTGGGGTTCATATCGTAATTCAGAAAGGCCCAGACAAGCTGGTAACTTACAGGATTTTTGCAGGTTTTTCCTGCATGCTCTCTTTTCTAAAGAGATTCGAAATAAAACTCACAATACCAGCAGACTTGGTATGTATGAGAAAGATATTTTTTGTTGCTGGGTTTGAGATGGAGGAAGAGAGGCCAGTGAGAATTGGGAAGATGCTGCATTTTAGAATGAGTAAAGTGTAGGCTGTGACACTGCCCTCTCACAACACAGCCACATGCTCTTAGACTGCTTGAGGAGAGAAAAGATAGCATTTGTCACATCACACGTCCAGTCACTGCCATCTAAAAAATACCGGCTTACCATGAGCACCTGGACAAGTCTCACCAGAACTCTCTGCTGAAGGTAAATAACATTCATAAGCAGATGGGCTCATTCTGGATTTGATACCACTCCTAAGCCACTGGATCGATGTCTTTCCCTCCTCCAGCTCCCCATACAGAGTCAGACACCAATTCCTTAGTGTATTTACAGCACTGCTCTGTCCCTCTGCCTGCACTTGTCCTTGTCCTTTTGGTTGCACCGTCTTGTTATCATCAAACTCTGTACCCTAGAGAGAATCTCCCATGGATAATCTCTTCCTTATGTACATATCAGTTAAAATAAATTTCTGTTGCTATATTTTCATGTTTGCCTTCTTTCTTTTCAAATAATCAAAGCATTTTTCCAGGTCTTTATCACTCCCCTCCTCCAGGACTACAGATTCAGATTCACCTTTGCAAAGGGTATCCATCCTTTCTGGTGTCTTCACTTCCTCTTCCTTCTAAGCACTCGTTAATGCCAGTCTCCAGCTAAACATGCCTCATACCTTCACCCAGGCATTCCAGCCTCTTGCTTCATCTCCCACCAAATATTTCCTCCATGTTTTCACTTGCACCAGCTTTGCTGCCTGCAGTTAAGCTTCTTGTGATGATACCTTAACATGCTCACTAGGACAGACCATTAGATGAACAACCTCCCTACACCTGTCCAACAGGTTTATCCACAGTCCTTCTCATTCTGCTCCTCTACACAGGGAGGTCCCATATAACCAGCCCCTCAGTGATGGCTGGGCAGCCAGCATCCAGCTGCCACGCTATTTACAGTATTTTCACTGTAATTGTTTTCACAGCTTAAAATTACTTTGCTATTCTTCACCCTCCTCCCCTTCTCTTAGGCTACGTAACTTCTTATATACATCACCAAGCCAGCAATCAAGTCAGCATCACTACTCCTGAGTCCCTGTTGCTCCTACTGAAATGCAGACCTTAAATGATAGCATCCTGGGACATGGGAAATACCCTTGATGTTAAGATAAGTGTTGCCTTGTCTCACACATGCACACAAACATTAGGTGGCCACAACAGAGTAAGTGAGAGTCACTATTAAATATCTGGTTAGCGAATGTCCTTTTGCTTACATCTTGTTGCAGTAAGAATATCTGTCTTTCTCTTAGTGTTTTGCTGCTTGAAGGGTTATTTTAATTAAAACGTAAAATGTCAAACATTAGTAAGAAGGAGGATAACCCTGTGGGGAGTGAGGATGAATCAAATTTATTAGTCACTGAGCAGCAGGCTGGTAGCCCTTCTCTTGGAGAAATTTTAAAAGGCAGTTAATGCAAAATACAGAATCAGTCTTATCTCCCCCTATTCTAATAAGCCTTCTGAAAAACAGTATTACAAGTTTCCAACAATTTTGGAAATTAAAGACAAATCTGCTACAGAGATTAAAGCAATGTCATTTTTGTGTGCAGTACACACAAAAAGTAAGTCTCATTCATGGACTGTAGAGAAAAATGTCTCTGTTAGTGTTATTTATCCCTGTTATCAAGAGATGCCTGTGTTAGCACCATACATGGTGTGTCACAGGACTGTAAGAGCCACTGGCATTTGGTAGCAAGCATAAAAACCAACCCTTGGAACTACTATTTAGGGAATTGTTTCCAAGAACAGAATTTGCCCGTCCACACTGCTCAGGAGCAAGGATGACTCAAGACCCCTCAGACAGGAGTGGAGAAGGTTAGGATTTTAGCACATGCAAGCTCTAGCTCTCCACCTACTAACATGATATTCTCTGCAGTTCTGCTTTATCCTGTGTCTGAATCCACTGGACTGTTCTATCTGTCTTCCTAATCATCCAGAGATAAATACCACCTTGGTTATTTTGTAATGTTTATTTCATAAATAATTTCTGGTGTATTTTTTACTTTGTTAGCATCAAGCTAACAAACGATCACTTTTTGTTTTACTTTTCAAGGTTCAAATTTAAGATGCAAAGGTAGAGCCTTGTGACTTGTTCCCCACAGAGATTACTCAGACACTTATGAGGACATGGAGAGCTTTTTACCCTATACACATACTAAATGCACGTAGTGACACAGAGATAACCATCACCTGCAAAGGAGGGCCTGTGAGTGGTGGTCTTCAGCTAGATCTTCAGCTCCTCTACAAATAAATGGATGGTGGCATTTGCTCTGAACAACTCTACTCATGGCAGCAGCCAAGGATTTTAGTTGATAATGATGTCCTTTGGGTTATTTACAGCCCATGAACACTGTTTAGTCATAAAGCAGGGTACAAGCACTCCTCCTTGGTCATTCATGGTCCACACACTTGGCCTGCTAGGGCTAAGGTGCCTTGGGCAAAGTGGGTAAGTCCCTTCCTTGAGAGGGCATCAGCTGCTACAGGATAAATCAAAGCAGCCATCTCAACAAACACCTTATATAGGGGATAATTTTCACACCATCTCTTCATAATGATTTTTTTTTTTTAACTTATGATGCGGTGTAAGTTCTGGTAAAGAATTTGAACAACTTTTAGTTAAGAGTCCTTAAAATTAAATTGTTTCATTCAACTTGAAATATAATTCTGTATGGCAGAAAAGACAGGCAGCATTTGGGAGGTGGGGAGGGAGATAAAAAGAATAGAGCAACAATATAGAGCTTACAAATTAAAACCAAGTGGAGCTGTCAATAAGATCTTGCTCACCATATTGTCACAGAATTTTCCTTCTGTGTCACGTTGGTCATTACTGTAACACTACATGAGAAATCACTCCATCTGTTAAAAAAGAAAAGAAAAGCAGCTGCTATCTTCCTGCAAAATGGAATTAACAAACACCCAGTAACTGTATTCCTTTTAACTTTTGTAGTCACAATTTCAGTTGTGCCATGCAAGCCACCAAGCAGTTCTAATAAGGCCCGTAAAAAACTCATTAACCAACAAAAGGATGCTACCTATGGAAACTGCAATGACTGTGACAGTTTTAGCTCCTGCACTGATGGTTTGGAGGTCTTTGGGTTCTCCTGTGGCAGGGGAGACGTTAACATATTGGGGAGAGGAGCACTAATCCAATCATTGCAGTAGAATAGGAGAAATCTTAACAGAGATTCGAGATTATTTTGCTGACTTAACTTGGCAGTTGAACCAGGTGAGTATCATTACATCCAGCCACAGAAAATACAAGCATCTGAATGCATGAAGTAGAGGAGCCTGGAGCAAGAACAGCAGGCTGCCAGAGGAGGCACTCAAGCTCGGGAGGAAGCCTGGGCTAGGATTTTATGATTTGCCATTAACACTGAACACCTGGGAACAGGCTGTATGTACCAAGAAAAGGACTGGGTGGGATCACGCCTATGTGCCACACTTTTCTGTATCTAAATTAGGCTGGAGGGCAGCTTGCAGCCCTTGCAATTCAGGGAATATTGAGCCAAGCTCAGGGAGAGCCCAGATCAAACACCTAATGGAGACCAAATCCTGAAACAGTTGTATTTCTCCTAAGAAGGGCAAGATAGCTAAACTCCACTTACAGAAAAGAATCCATAGCAAAACCATACATGATAACCAGTGTTTTTAAAGAGCTACTGAGGAATGAAGGCTGGCCTGTGATCAGACAGGACTGTACTGGAGACAGCACTTTGCATTAGATGGAGCCAGCTGCTAAATAATGCCTTAGGCAAGCTGCACCCTGCCCGGGGGGGACACCCCTTATTCTCCATCTTTGGGTGTGCCTCCTTGCCCTCCCTTCCATCTTCTTAGTCTTGGCTCTGGAGGTACGCATCCCATCAATGGTTGCCTTCATGCCGGCAGGTTTCTGCACCAGCTTGAGCCGTGACAAGAGCCATCAAGCCACAAGAAAGTGTTCAAACATGTATCACCATTCTCATGTCATGATTTTTATGCCCCTCACCAAGCATGTGCTGCTGGCCAGGGATGGAGATAGGAGCCCCTTTAGAGGCACGATGTTACAGTGAGTATAGCTGTTATCATGCAAGGGTAGTTTGGGTTATTTTTCCCAGCAGTTCAGGCTTCTTTTTTCCTGGCAGGTTGCTTCAACACACTTGTAACCACATCTACATTGGAAGAAAACACAAGAGGCAAACACAGTTCCAGCTGTTTGAACAGAAACCCCCTGAACTAAAAGAGGGTTCACTCTGGGGGCATTCCTGACTCATTTGCTATCCTGTAGGACTCTTCAGTTCACCAGGGAGTGATTTGCAGCTATTCTGCAGCAGAAGGAAAATGCCGGTAGACAGCATAATTCCAACAATCTGCAAGATGGTACTCTAATTTTCTGGAAAGATTAGATTTTGTTATAAGTGCGCGAGTTGTATCTGTTCATCTGGTCTTTTAATTCATCCAAAGGCTTCACCATTCTAATAGGCTTAACGGTTACTGTAGCTGGTAGGATACCTCAAAATAATCACTTAATTAAAGATAATGTTATTTATATTACAACAATACACAGATGCAAGTGAGATCAGAGTTCCATTTTCTACCACAACGAAGTACTAAAAATCAACTTCCAAAGGATTTTTATGGAAAAGACAAGTAATGGGAGAAGGGAAGTTGAGGCACAGAGATTTGAAGTGCTGCTGCACAAAAGTAGCAAAGCAAGGAATAGAATTACATGCTTTAAGTTCCCCTGATACATCTACAAACAGGAACTTCATGTTAGTATCAAGGTATGGTATTCAAATAAATTGTTCTGCAGTAAAAATGATCAAAAAAAAACCAGGATCAGTGCCCACTAAAGTTGGCCAGGAATTTTTCATAAAATATCACCACAGAAGGAAGCAAGATTTTTTCATAAGAACGCATCCGTTTCTAAAAGGAAGAAAAAAAAAAAAAAAGACAAAACAAAGCAAAATAAACCTTCCTGGGAAAGCTTCCTCCAACCCATGATGAAAATTCTGGCTATGCCAGAGAAAGGCTTAAGGGACTGGAGCCCACCCTGAGATGATTCAGAGCACAGCCTGGCCCAAGGTTTACCTCAATTTGGAGCACCTTGTCATGGTGAGCTGAGTCCTTCTCATTTTCCCTGCACTCTTTTGCAAGTGAATGCAGCTGGACTGATGAAGATCAGGTTTTCTATCCCTGTCCTGAACAGGACAAGAAGAAATTTAAAACAGGGGCTTCCAACTAAAGGGTTCCACTAGAGTACTTACCTGAAGGGCTCTGGAGCCTCGAAACTCAGCAGTCATGTCTCCTGCCTACCTCTGCTACCTACATGCATGGGACAGAGTCACTGTTTTAGCATGTATCATGGGTTTTAACAAAATATGCTGCAAGGGCTGCTTGACATTCCAGTCCAATTGTTTTAACCAAGACAGGTCACAGGGCTTGGATCTGTGCAGGCATTTTAAATACCACAAGGTCTGTTACCATTTATATGGCTTTGTTTCAAGCTATCCCATTTTGACAAGAAACAAAACTGTCATTTTGAGGCAACACAACGTGAAGGCATTCAATGCACCTGCCAGACTGCCACCATGAAGTTTTTCAGCATAAAGGGTCAGCAAAACCACTGCACCACACATGAACTCTTACATAGCCATATTCATTGTGCAAACGAAAAACTGTTCTACACAGCATGCCTGACCAAGTGCTTGGCACCATTGCAAGAACTGGTCTACAAGGCAAACTGGATTTTATCGCAGGCTGAAAGACTCTTCAAGTCCTTGAATACAAAGAGCTCCATTTAGAAAGAAATTGCAGTGTGTAAATATAATCCACAATCAAGGCTCTCAGAGTCACAAAATAGCATGACTATATCTCTGATTACTAATTTAATCAGGCACCACAAGCACTTAAGTGAAGAACCCCAACCAGACAAAGGGAGCTCCTTACAGCTGTTTTTAGCAGGCTGTATTTTGCAACAGACATGTGAGCACAGATCCCAGTTTGTAAGCTATCCCATGTCTGAGGGGCAACATTTACTAAAACAAAGTGAGATTGTACTGACACAAAGTGAATTCCAAAACTGCACAGATCCAACCCTGCACTCATAAACGATCTACCACCACGTTATGAGCAAACAAGTCCAGAGAAGGGCCATGAGGATGATCAGGGGACTGGAGCACCTCCCATATGAAGATCGGCTGAGAAAGCTGGGGCTGTTCAGCCTGGAGAAGAGAAGGCTGCATGGAGACCTCATAGCAGCCTTCCAGTATCTGAAGGGGGCCTATAGGGATGCTGGGGAGGGACTCCTCATTAGGAACTGTAGTGACAGGACAAGGGGTAATGGGTTAAAAATTAAACAGGGGAAGTTTAGATTGGATATAAGGAGGAAATCCTTTACTGTGAGGGTGGTGAGGCACTGGAATGGGTTGCCCAGGGAAGTTGTGAATGCTCCATCCCAGGCGGTGTTCAGGGCCAGGTTGAACAGAGCCTTGCGTGACATGGTTTAGAGCGAGGTGTCCCTGCCCATGGCAGGGGGGTTGGAACTTGATGATCTTAAGGTCCTTTGCAACCCTAACTATTCTGTGATTCTATGAAACACAAGTCTTTGCACCATTCACCCTGTTTCCCATTCAGTCAGGATGCATCACAAACTGGAGTTAGCTTGAATGACATTCAAGTCATTCATGACTTGAATGACTTTCAATTTTTATTGGAAAGATCTACCATAATTTCTGGTGCATAAATAAATAAATTAATCAAACGAAACCCTGACAGATGCCTGCTACAGATGCAAGTCTCATTATGGACTAAGTGGAAGTCCTAAGTCACCTATACTCTGCAAAACATCTGGGGAGAGCAAGACCTAGTGGGATTTTCTGACCTGAGCTCTTTGGAAGCTTCAGAGGAACTAGGGCCACTCTTGCCCATCCCAGGGCAGCAGCACATCCCACACAGCAGCTGGAAAGTTCTGACTTCCTTTTCCTCTACGCTCCTGTGCAGTGTCTGAGGGGAAAGGGAGATCTAACATTGCTTTATTCTTTTAATTTGCCAAAGAGCACACAGGTCTCTCTGGCTATGCGTTAGGTGCCTCAAATATATCTGTTGATCTGGGTGCCAGAGCATAAAGCAGTGTGAATACATAGGCAACCCTTGCATTTTAGCTCACTTCCCTTTTTCCCCTATTTACCTTGTTCTGTTCGCTGTCATTGAAAACCTTTGAAGCAATTCAGCTAGCATCAAGACATCTTCTTAGTGGTGCTGTGCCACAAACTGCCAATCCCATATGGACATGAGGGAACTAGGTTGTTTAGTCAGAGGAAGAAAAGGCCCAGGGGGGACCTTATCACTCTCTACAGCTACATGAAAGGAGGTTGTAGTGAGGTGGGGGTTGGTCTGTTCCCCCAAGTAACAAGCAATAGTACAAAAGTTAACGGCCTCAAGCTATGCCAGGGAGGTTTAGATTGGATATTAGGAACAATTTCTTCACAGAGAGGGTGATCAGGTATTGGAACCAGCTGCCCAGGGAAGTGGTGGAATCACAGTCCCTGAAGTGTTCATAAACCATGTAGATGAGGCCCTCAGTGACATGGATTAGTGGTGGAATTGGCAGTCCTGAGGTAATGGCCGAACCTGATGATCTTAAAGGTCTTTTCTGACCAGCCAACTCTAGGATTCTACCTCAGACATAGCAGAGCAGTCAAAACTGGCAAGCTTTACATACCTATCAATGAGTCCTATGACCAGCCCGCTGCTGCTTACAGACATGAATTATATCCATTTGCTTAATTTTCTGACAATATCTCAAAGTGATATAAAAATATCTATATGACACATATGTTCTCCCCCTCTCCTACCCTCCTCCCCACTCAGCCCTAAGCAAGCAATGGGTGAAAAAAATTCAGAACGCCACATAACATGAAATCTCTGCTTGGTTGGGTGTATTAATAGCTCAGCCCATTTTCTGATGCAATTGCATTAATTGTTCCTGTCCCGACTGGCTTTGTAGGAGAAAAAGGAAGGTTAATTTAAATATTAAACAAGGAAAATGTTGGGGTTTTTGTTACAGCTTTGTGCGCAGATGTGTAACAGAGTGCTAAATATCAGCACTCTGCCTAGTTGAAGGCTGTTGTGTTAGCAGGAATCCTCACCTATTCGTACAAACTAGCATGTACCAGATGGCTCCATGGGAGTCAGGAGGCTTGAAATGGAGCAATCATTCAGTCTGCAGATGGAATATACAGTACGTTCCTAGTTAAGTAAGGGGCTCATTTATTCAGATAGATTCTGCATATATGGAGCGTGTCTCAGAGGACAAGCCAGTTTCTGCCTCCAGATTTC